CTCCCCCCGCCATCGCTACCCTCCCCCTCCCGCCGCCGATCTTTCTGGCTTCCAATCCGTCGCTGAAGCCTCCTCTGTCCTCGCCGCCATCATACTCGTTCACGAATCCGGCCATTTCCTTGCTGCCTCCCTCCTCGGAATCCGCATCTCCCAATTTGCCATCGGATTCGGCCCACCTCTCGCTCGCTTCTCCTCCTCCTCCGGCATCGAGTTCTCTCTCCGCTCCTTCCCTCTCGGCGGCTACGTTGCCTTTCCCGACGCCGATGACCCCGAGTTTCCCGAATCTGGTCTCGATCCCGACGACCCTGATCTCCTCCGCAACCGTCCTCTTCCCCATCGATTCCTCGTCGTCTCTGCAGGTGTGGCCGCCAATCTGTTATTTGCTTACCTCGTCCTCTTTTCCCAATGCTTATCACTCGGTGCAGCCGTGCGGCAACCCCTTCCTGGCATCCTGATCCCCGAAGTCCGGCCTCTATCTCCAGCCGCCGTCGCCGGACTTCTCTCTGGCGATGTTATCCTCGATGGGCCTTCCGTCTACGGTCTCGTGGATCTGATCAAATCCAGCCCTGGAAAGAGCATTCCCTTCCAAATCTCCCGCCAAACCATACCCGACCCGTTCATCGTCAATGTTGTACCGGACATGGATTCGGATGGCACAGGAAGAATTGGCGTTCAGCTCTCCCCTAACTTCACGGTTACCAGAATCCGACCGGCGAATATCTTTGAAGCCATTCGATTCTCCGGAAAGGAGTTTGTTTCGCTGACAGCCACAGTTTTGGATGGGTTGAAGGAGACGTTCATGAATTTCTCGCAGACGGCTGGAAAGGTAGCAGGGCCGGTGGCTATTATTGCTACAGGGGCGGAAGTGGCGAGGTTGAGTTCAGATGGGTTGTTTCAGTTTGCTGCTGTGATTAATTTGAATTTGGCGGTGATCAATCTGCTGCCATTGCCTGCTTTGGATGGTGGAACTTTGGCTTTGCTGCTGGTGGAGGCTGCACGGGGTGGCCGAAAGCTGCCGAGGGAGTTGGAGCAGAGGATCATGTCATCAGGCATTATGGTTGTTTTGATGCTTGGTTTAATACTCATTGTGAGGGACACCCTTAATCTTGATTTCGTGAAGGAGATGTTGTGATTAGGAGGTCAGACGGTGGATTGGTTTTGGAGCAAAGGATGTCTGTCAGGAAGTGCATTGTGGTTGGGATTGATTGGTTTGGAGGCAGAGTTGGCTCGGTGGGTAAAGCACAAAAACTTTTTCTTTGTTTTTTTTTTTGGTTTTCCTTAATCTTAATTTTCCTCAGGTTTACAGTGGTAAGTATGGATGCAAATATCTTGTAAAGTAGAACTGTTGATGAAGAAGAGGATTTAATATTGGCAGTTGGTTAATTGGTAACCGAATATAATCATTTATTTGTACTTGCTTAAGGCCATAGTCTTAGCTGATTTGATAGGTCCATAGTCAGGTTATACATTTGTTCAAGTTTCTGTTATGTTATCTCCTGCAACATGAATTTTGAGCTAGGCAGCTTTTTGAATAATAGATGGTTTTTAGTTTGTTAACTTTATCATGGGAGGTCACAAAAGTTGATGTTTTTTCTTGTTGCTTAAAATGGGTTTTATTTTCCTCTATATGTCTCATTTGGACCACCTCCTCATATGACCTTCTGTAATCGTATAGTCTAATGCCGGTTGACCGAATTTGGGCTTATGAATCGGATATTTTACTAAGGCAGACGAACGAATTCCTGAGCGTAGTTGCCTCACCAAGTTGATGAATTGACAAATATGAGTAGCTGAGTATGAGTTACTAGATCTTCTACTACAATCAGCCCACACGTGTGAAGCTTGGTCAAGATAGATTGCCCACTTGTTGGAGGGACCAAATCCACCTCATTATCCATTAGATCTACTTTGTCGAGGACAACTCACCTTGGAGCTGAATGGCTCAATGCTGAATTACCTCAAGGGTCGAGTAGGCCGATAAGGATGTGAATCAATGTGCATTATGGTGAATATACATCAATAAATGGTGTTGTTAGAGATATACTTTTAATTATAATGTCAAAGTCATAAGTGGACACGAATGAATAAGTTGAAGATTTTTAGGGATCTATGCAATTAAGTAATCTTTTTGTATTATACTAGAAAACCTCCTATAAATAGAGGAAAACCTATGCAACAAGCGATCGGTACCTGAAGATGGTACCATAGACCAATCTTTTTTTCTTTCCTCTTTAGACAAGAAATAGTGATTTTCCTCTCATCCAGCTTATTTTGTCTCCTTCACAATTCTTTCCTTGAAGTACTAGTCTACAGACAAATCAAGATTCAATAATGATAGAAGGTAAGGTATTACAGTGCTGGCAAATTAATTCATTATGTCTTGCATTTCTATAATGTAGAATTTGAATGAGCTTAAGGAAGTACAGCAGGGATACAACAATTATAGGACATAGAACTTGAGTATTTTCATTGGATCTAGCTAGATTTATGCCCAAGAATTGAAATTTTTTAAAACATAGAGCAGAAGTACTAAGTTTCAACTTGGCGCCAAGTGCTAACTATATATGTTGGTCAGGTATTAAATTAGTTCATAATTTAAGGTATATACCTATTGCAAAATATGTGGCACCTTTCTTTCTTAGTTCTATGACATATTTATGTAACATATCAATTATGCATAAAGTATAATAGGTTGAGGAAACAACCTGGCTCTGGATATCCTTTTGTCGAAATTAAATCAAGAACATAATGATAAATTTATGTCATGTGTTGTTGTACATCAACAGTAAAGTTGTGTGACTTTGTCACTTTTCTATGTATAAACGTGTTAGATAGGTATATAAAGGTAGATCCTAAGCTATGCATGCATGAAGGGTGTATTTCAAACATCAAAGATCATTATTATCTTTATTATGCCACATAACAGAGACAATTTGGAGAAAATTTGGGAAAGTCAAAACGGTCTACTTGAAGAATGGATGACCAAGACTCTTTCTTTTGATGTTCAACTTTGTGGGGAGCCACATGGATATTTTTAGGCTTCAATTCAGACACCTTGGGATCACCAACTATGGTTTTAAATCAACACTAACCATTAAATTTGCCAAATCAGCTCACTTCCTCATAAATGGGGGATAGCCCCTCTCTCCACCAAGAAACACCCCAACTGCCTCCTGGTTGGGGTAGATTTGAAATTTCTATGGAAAAATCTGTAGAAAATAATTTAAACATGTTATGATTGCTTTGGTGAGGATTGTTGAAGATTTGGAATGAATTAGACAAGTGTATTGTGATCGGGAGGCATCTCTCTTTGGAGTTAATTTTGTTTAATTTTTCTCCTGAAGCTTTTAAGTATACTTCTGTATTTACTTCTTATAAACCATACTGAATAAAGTGAACCTTTATAAAATAATGATTTTTAGGTTGGTATAACTATGATCCAATGGAGTTCAGGCTTTTGAGGCTTGCCATTATTGCTTCATTAATAGGATATTGGTGTCTTTTTTTTTTTATTTTTTTTAAGAATTTATGAATTGTAATTAGCATCCCTTTTCATTACTGGAATAACTCTGTCACATCCCGGATCTGGAAGGCGAAACACTTTGGCAACGTATGACGTGATGAATGGATGTTAACATGTTTTATATTCTCAAAAGAAATGATTGTGAAACTATAATAACGAGATTTGACACATCAAATTATAAAAAAATATTGAATACTAAAAATATAAGACATAATTTAACAAGAGTTTATGCACCAATAGGGTTATGCACCAATAGGGCAAGACTCGTTACTTATGCAAATTCATTATGAACAATAAATATAATATATTAGAAATATATTAATGAAATTTAAATGATAAGATTAGCAAACCTACACATAGCTAGAAATCTAATACAATTAACAAGATTAACTTCTATAACTAGAAAATGTACGTTTATTTCATGATAAAGAGCTTCCACTTACCTCAAGGCGAAAAATAATTCTAAACTTAATAGTGATTCAAATAACATCAAAAAGTAGGTCCTACACATCAAAATCTCCAAATATTAACAATTATGTAATCACATATATTAAAACTAATCATTTATTTTGATGCAATATGGTTAAGTTATATATATC